TACATGCCCCAATCAGGGGACCACACCCCGAAACCCAGCATGTGGCCCAACTGGGAACTGAACCTGCAACCTTTCCCCTTGCAGGATGATGCCCAGCCAGCTGAGCCATGCCAGCCACCACGCAGTGAGGGGGTGGGTGGTTTCACTTGAGTATTTGCTTCCTTGGGCTCTAGAGGAAGAAGAGGCCCCTGCCCGCACTGCGCCCTCTCAATCCCATCTATGGGCAGAGGCAGACACCACTGGCGACTGCCCGCCGCCGAGCAGGGCGGCCTCCCCTCCACCCCACCCCAGCTTCCTTCCCAAACCCTCTCCGGGCAGCTGGTCCCAGCTGGCTCCCCCAACACTTGCCTTGCCTGGGGCACCAGCCCAGGCCCTGGCAGCAACTCAGTGCTCAGCATGAACTGTACCTGCCCAGGGACACTCAGAACCAGCCAGGAGGGGCCCCTGTCTGCTGCAGTGAGGCCCCTGGGCCAGGGCCAAGGCCCCCGTTCACCTGCAGCCCAGCCACACCCTGCAGGCTCTGGGTTCCACCTACCTCGGCCTCTTCAGTGTGGCTCCCTATCCATTCCTTCTGCCCACACACTGGGCTCCAGGGCCTGCCTTGCTCAGGACTCAGGTGGCTACATTGAATCTGATATTGGTGGACCCAAAATCCTGGAATCATCAAACCCTAGAGATGTCAGAGCTCATTTGGGCTGCTCCTTCCCCAGAGCTGTTACTGTCCTTGACCCATGGAGATCAGAAGTTCCACACGGCTGAGTTTATTGAGCCCCAGTTGAATGCAAGTCTCCCTGCTTATCAGGGCATGGAGAGGGTGAGCAGGGTGGTGGGAAAGGGGAAGCACCGAGCCCTGGCTGGTGCAGCTCAGTATATTGAGCTCAGGCCTGTGAACCAAAGGGTCACTGGTTTGATTCCCACTCAGGGCACATGCCTGGGTTGTGGGCCAGGTCCTCAGTAGGGGGCGTGTGAGAGACAACCACACAGTGATGCTTCTCTCCCTTTCTCCTTCCCTTCACCTCTCTCTAAAAACAAATAAATTAAAAAGAAAAAAATGATGAAGCAGAGATCTGGCCTATGTTAGGAAGCCCCAGAGTCCAGAAAGGTGATGGGGCCCCTGTGAGGATTTTGTCCTTTTGATATTGCTCCAGATTTTCAAGGCCCAGGTCCAGTGGCCCCTCTCTGGGACTGGGCAGAACGGAGTGAGCACAGCAGGTCTGAGACAGCCGCCCTCCAAACAGCCCGCTGGCAACCCTGGCCCGTGGCTGGAGCCCGGGAACTTGGATTTCAGGAGGGTTTCCACGATTCCCTGAGGACAGGGGCTCACTGTGCCTGCGTCGTCTGTGTGAACAACACGGCTTACTCTGAACACCTGCTTTCCTTGGAGGAGCCTGGAGGTTTGATATGTGCAAGGCAGGGGGTGCCGAGGGAACAGCCCCCAATAAACACCCTGGTGCTGGGTCTCTAACGAGTTTCCCTAGTAGAAAACCTTTCACGTGCCATCACAGCTGGGAGGAATGAAGCGTGTCCTGTGTGACTCCGCTGGGAAAGGACCCTTGGGCGCCTGCCCTGTGTCCTCCAGGCGTCCGGGTGCCAGTTTTGCTCAGTAGGCGTTTACTGTAATAGGCATTGGCTGTGAGTATGGCTCTGCATGGGTTCTTGAGAGTTCTCCTGGCAAATCACGGAACCTGGGATCTCAGGGACCACCGACACAGGAACCTCCTAGTCAGTAAGCGACATATTCAATCTCTTCTTTCTTAGGACCCTGCAGAAGAGAGAGGTCCCTTGGATGTGAGGTGAAGAGTACATGCAAATTATTGGGTGCTGGGGGCTCCTAGCCTGGCCTCCTGGGGAACGTGACAATTAGCTCCGCTAAGCAAGGACACAGCTGGCCTCCCTCCCTGAGGGCTTGCTCCGCACCACGCCCGTGCTGCAGGCTGCACATGCCTGGGTCATCTCGTTCACTCCTCCCAGAGCCCGAAGAGCCCAGGGAGCGATGAGAACCACAGGGGTCCAGAGAGAAGGCACACGGTGTGGAGGGGGGCTTCCCTGCCCTGGGGACGAAGGCCTGGCCCAGGCAACTGATCCCAAAGCCCATGGTTCTTAGCAGCACCTCCAACACAGGCTGGAGCAGAGGCCGCTAGAGGACCCCAGGTCTACTCTCCCCTCCTAAGGGGAACAGAACTCCCTGTTTCTAGCTGGGCCGCCGGCTGCCTAGACAAAGGCTGTACTTGCAGCTCCCATGCAGCTCCACATGGCCGGCGGCTCCCTGGTGAGCGGCAGGATGCTAGGATGCAAGCCGAAGTGATGGACACCACTCCCTGGCTGGGGCCACCCTCTCCTCTGCCTCTTCCCACTGGCGGGAACACGGACATGGTGGCTCCATCTTGTCCGTGCAGCAACCGGGGGAAGGAGCCTGGGCCTCGCACACCCTGGGGTCTCCACCCAGCTGGGGCTGGCCAGGCCCGAGACTGTTTTGGAGAGAGGCACAGATGTTTATTTGGTGTAAGCCACTGTTGTTGTTGTTGTTGTTGTTATTATTATTATTATTATCTCTGATACAAGAGCCAAATCTATCCCTTAAATCTGAGGGTCTCAAGCTTTCTTCCATGACCACAGAAAGAAGTAGATTTTACTTTGCGATGTGTGTGATTAGGACAAAGGCTTCATGAAACTGTGCAATCTGATTCCAACATTTTAATTTTATTTAGTTTCTTAAGAAATGCTGCTTGTGTGCTCATTAAGTCACCTGAAGTCAGAAGAATACCATCTTGACAATTGCCCAGGCCGACCCTGTTCCCCTCAGACCACCAGCTTTTCCACTTCTCTGCTATGCCTTCCCCTCCCTCTTTGTCCTCTTTTCGACAGTCATTCACTCAACAAACATAACGGAATGTCCACTCTGGGCCAGAAGCCACTCCAGCTGTCATCCTGGTAACAGTGGCAAGGAGCTGAGAGAATACAAATCTGACTGCCAGTGATCAGGGGAGGCTTCCTGGTGGAGGTGGCATTTGCAACAGGTCTTGAAGGACAGAGATCAATGTGGTAGGGCAACGTCCTGTCCTGCAGTCCTGGCCCCAGCTCCTCCGCAGCCTGTTTCAATCTCTCCCAACCTCATAGTCTTGAGGTGCTAACCACACTGGTCTTCCTTCTGTGCCTGAATAAAGCCTAAATCCTTCCCACTCCAGGACCCCCACATTCTGTTCCGTCTGCCTGGAACACTCTCCCTCTGCCTCACTGCTGGTCACTGTCCACCCGCTGCTGACTTGCCTGGGTGAGTGCCTGCCTCTAGTCGGGTGATGATCAGTGCCCGTCTGTTGAATGAATGAATTCCAGCTCAGTCCTGTTCACCCTTCGCTTGGACGGCTGTGGCAGCCTCTGCCCTGGCCTTCCAGCCCCCTCCTTTCTAGCACTCCCACTCCATCTTTGTCACAACTGCCCTGGAGAGAGGGCGATTTCCTTCCTCTACATTAAACCTTACTCAGTGGCTCCCTATTACCCACAGGGTAGAAGTCGAGCTCCCTTCGACTGACTCTTTGGAAGACTGGCCCCCACACTCCTCACCAGCATCTTCTCTTTCCTCGTCACATCCTGTGGCTCAGAGACTCAGCTTAGGTTGTACGCCCACCTGTAAATGTTCTCCATCCTCCTTCTTCAACTGGCAGACTCCTACCCCTCCTCAGAGACCCAGCGCAAACACTGCATCCCCTTCCACCGCCTCAGGCCGAGGGTGCCCAGCTCCTTCGGTCCCTCGCTGGCCGGTGTCCCAGGAAGGGCTCTTCCCTGCTGTACCTCCCTGAGGACACAGACCACGTCTTCTCACATCTGCGTCCCTGAATCCTGGAATCTTGCCCCAAGTAAGCCCTGATGTCATCGCCCTTGTCTAAAGTATTTATCACCACTCCTGGCGCCGTTTATCACCCTTAGAGATTCACTTCTCTTCAGCTGCTTGAACAATGCTGCTCTTTCTTGTGGAAACTTTCTGCAAGTTGCTTCCAAGCCAACGTAGCCCACATGTTTCTTGTTGGAAACCAGAATGCCAACATTGTATATGAATTGATGAAAACTTTATATTTAGTTAAAAGAAACAAGCTTTTGGTAATTTTGTTTACTTTGTAAATTGGTACATCATTTAAGGCATATTGATTATTTTGTGTGTGTGTGGCAAATTGACCTACTTTCTGCCTCCCGAACTGCTCTCCCAGCTTATATTTATATTTCAAAAGGAACTTTAACCCTCCCTGGCCAGGCGGCTCAGTCAGTTGGAGCATCGTCCCATGGATCAAAAAGTTGTGGGTTCGATCCTGGCCACATACCGAGGTTGAGGGTTCAATCCCTGGTTGGGGCGTGTACAGGTGGCAGCTGATTGGTGATGTTTCCCTCTCTCTCAAATCAATAAAAATGGCTTCAGGTGAGGATTAAAAAAAAATGAAAAGGAAACTTAACCCAAAGGAATGACTGTCAGGGTGGAAATGTGAGTCTTTGGGGGCAGAAACACAGCAGAGAGGCTCCCATTGGTTATCTGCTCTGCCCTCCGCGGTATTTCCCTTGGACCCCCACCCCTGTGCTCGTTCAGCTCCACTGAACTGCTTGAGTGCTCGCTTCTCACCAGGAAGTGCACAGGGGTGGCCTTCTGACCCGGGGGCGGGCTGCTGGCCTGGATGTGCACCAGCCTCCTCTGCTGTCATTGGCTGCTTAGACAGCATGGGGAGGATTTTGGAAACAGGACCCTGTCATCCAGGACCCTTAGGTTGCAAGTGACAGAAACCCGACTCAGCCTGACCTAGAGAGAGAAGGAATTACTGGCCTTTACAAAGGGGGAAGATAGTGAAACAGCCCTTGGATGTGAAGGAAGAAGTCTAGGACCAGGGCCTCAGAGACGGCAGCTATGAGGTAAATGCCCCCAGGAGTCTACTCATGCTCATCTCCGCTTTACTCTGTTCCTGTTTACCTGTTGGCCTCATTCTCTCCGACTCCTGATGGGCCTTCTGCATGTGACACAGAACAGCTGCTCCAGTGGAAAGAGAGAGCGGCTGGCTCCCGGAGTGCATACATCAGTCTCAGGGGAGGACTCCGACTGGACCCAGGACTGCTGCCAGGTGGGTGGAGTGCCGTGATTGGCCAGCTGGGATCACATGGCCATTCTTGCAGCCCTCACGTGGGTCTGTTACCAGAGGAAGGGACAGAAGGAAGCTTCCTGGAAAGATACAAAACCAACAGTCCTCCATACAAGAGGGGAGTGGAGTAGTTTAGCTTGGAGAAAAAACAGGGATGTGGATAAATGTCACGTACTCTACTTAGTACGCTTGAGAGCCCAGGAGTTTTAAAGATTTTAACTCTTTGTTGATAGTTCCAACCTACTGATCCCACTAATAGTTCCAACCCACTAATCCCAGCAATATAGACCCTCACCAGCCACACATCTCCATTCCGGCTCAGCTCACTACTTTCTGCTCAGTGAGCAAATATCCAGAGAGGGGAGGAGTGTGTTTCTCCACATGGCCCACACTTTACTGCTTCTGGGACTTGCACTGCCCTGTCACCTGGAACGTGCCTACCACCACCACGCCTGTTTCTCCTTGTTTTGATCATATCCATCCTTTAAGGCCCAGTTCAAGTGTCACTTCTTCTAGGAAGTCTTCCCTGATCCCACAGCCGGCAGGGTTCCCTCTCTCTTTATAGACCTTCACCTGACTTTCTGTCATTTGTATTATGCGTTGGTTTAGCAGAAAGAGCTTCCTAACAGTCCATCCACCACGCAGATGGCAGGTAGTGAGCTCCCCATCCCTGGAGCTGTGAAGCAGAGGCCTGTTTGCAGGGTGTTGTAGAAAGGAGAGGACTTCCGTGGGGCTGTACATGAGTCTCCTAGGGCTACTGTGAGAAATCGCCACACACTGGATAGCTTAAGACAACAGAAGTTTCTTCTGCCACAGTTCCGAAGACCAAAAGTTCAAAATTAAAATGTCAGCGGGTCCGTCACTTCCCGGGCTCTGCGGGAGGACCCGTCCTAGACCTCTCTCCTGGCTCCCGGTGGCCACCAGCAGTTCCCGGCGATTCCTTGGCTTGCAGACAGCCCTCTCCGACTGGTCTGTTTTCACACGGTGTTCTCCTCTGTGTGTCTCTGTGTCTGCTCATCTTCTCACAATGGCACCAGTCGTGGGGTTTAGGGCCCACCCTCAACCCAGGATGGTTTTATCTCAAGATCCTTAACTTATCACATCCACCAAAACCCTGTTTCCAAAGGCGGCCACACTCTGAGTTTCAGGGAGGACCTGCGTATTTGGGAGACGCTGCCCAGCACACCGCCGGGACCCTGTGTAGGACAAACGGGAGAGAGACAAGAGCGGCCACAGTACAGGCAGAGCTCAGCCCCTGTCATCAGATCTGGTTCTCAAAAGAAGCCAGAGGTGTGGATTTTTATGTAAAACATCCAGGTGTTTAAATGCTGGCAACATTTTCGAAACGCCTTTAAACATCGTGGTCCATCCATCCGTCTGTGCATAGACAGCACACTTACAAGCCAGACTGGGCCTGTGGAGTGGGAGTTGGTGCCCTCTAGTGGAAGCTCCAACTTCCGTGAGCTCAGAAAAGAACAAGGCCTGTGCACTTACTTCCACCAGACGCCACCAGATGGCGCGCCAGTCATTGCGTTCGTCAGGCCTCTTCCATCCGCGCCCAGGAGGTGTCCAGGAATTGAAATCCCATAAAAGGGGGTTTTTCAAGTCAGAGGTGGTGAGGGTAAACGGAGTGTGTGTGCTGGCTGGGGTGGGTGCGGCAGGGAGGGGGGTGGTAGTAAGCTAAAGGCCAGAGTTCATTGCATTGAAACTTCTTCTTTTATTATCTCAATTTTTGATGCCTGCTACCTCTTGTTTGCTAGTAGTAACTGCTGCGTTGGCTGACAAAACTAGTCCGAAGGCGGCAAGATAGGCTACAGAAAAAAGAGAGGAATGGCCAGTGGTGTTTGTTTAACAGCTTTACTTTATTCTAAACAAATGGATTAACTTAAAAAATGGACACCTGCAATGGCAAACAAATTTAGACCATGGGGAAGACTCCTGCTCCCACCACCAGCCCTGCCCTCTCTGTGAGCACACCCTCACTGCCTCACGTGCTCTGAACGCAGGGGTTGGGATTGTGTTTGGATGACGCACATACAGAATACACTTTCCTGCAAGGAAAATTCTGCATTGTTCGCACAAGGGAATTATGAGTGTCAATAGTGATGGTTACTGACATCTGTATAAATACAGCCCTGATAATCCTTATAAAAATTATAAAAATCACAGGATGTGTGATAGTTATGGGGAGGGGCATTTCCAGGAATTTATCATACCTAATCACAGTTTGTCTTTTCTAGGCAAAGGTTAACAATGTATTTTTGATATTTGATATATTTTTTACTTTTGATTATGGGAAGGTTCAAACACTCACAAACATGGAGGGAACAGTAAAATGAACCTCTCTGCTTGGACAACTAGCTTCTCAGGACCAACCTTGCCCCTCCCCCCCGATGCATACTTCCTGTTTGTCAGCTGGATATTTCAAAACCTATGTCAGACCCGGTGGCACATCCAGAGATACTTTTGTAGTACACGTTCTCTTACTTTTTGTTCCTTTGTTGTTGTTCTTCTTCACAAGAGAGCTCATGGCCAGCTGGCCGAGACCAGTCGCCACCCAGCCCAGGCCAGTGAGAGCCCCTCTCGACGGCACTGCAGCCTCCACTGTCTTTGGCGCGGGCGTCCGCATCTTTTCACCATTCCCACCAACAGGTTCATTTTTCTGTTTCCCACTAAATTTTTATTTTTCCCCACTAATATTTAAAAAATCAGATAAAATGGCCAATACTCAATAGTGGGTCAAAGAATTGCCCACAACTCAGCCAAAGATGGCCACTGCCAAGCCCCCATTGGCCGACACTCAGAGCCCCTGTGTCCCCATGGTGTCTGTGGGCCCGCTGGACCTTGAAATGGCTGCATTTATGCAGATGAAAGAGAGTCTGTGGGTGTCAATGTCAAATGTGCAAGGAAGGGCTGAAGGTCGTAGGGCTTCCATGTCCCTCGGTTTGCCTTGCCTGCCCTGGGCATGCCTGATGACTCCGTGTGGAAGAGGATGTCTTTCAAAGATGGGGGCAACAGCATTTCCCAGCGCACGTGCCTTTGGGTGACCTCAACACTGCTCCCAGCGAGAGACGAGGGCCTGTGCCCTCTCTCCTCGAATCTGATGGGCCTGTGGCTGGCGCAGGACCACTCGAGTGCAGCAGAGGTGACACCGAGGACTTCTGACATGGGCCCACTAACACACCGTGTGGCTTCTGCCTGGTGAGCTCGAGCATGCGGGCCTGAAGCCTGAGCTGCTGGGTGAGCGAGCAGGCTGGCTGCCCTGAAGCCGCCGTGCTGTTAGGAAGCCCAAACCCTCCCATGGGGAGAGGTCATGTGCAGAGAGATGCTGACCATCCTTCAGCTGTGCCAGTCTCTTATGTTCCAATACCAGTCGCCATCTGACCATGGCCTCACGGGACCCTCAGCCAGACCCCCCCCTGGAGCCTGTACTTCGTTTCCTGGCCATGGGAGGCAGGAGAGAGAACGCTGATTGTTGTTGCTTTAAGCCAGTAAGTTTGGGGCGATCTGTTACTCAGCAATAGATAACCATGTTGTTGGTTTTGTGACAACTGTCCTAGCATGTGATTTGTGTTACTGTTGTGTTGGTGCTTATTATTATTGACTCCCGTAATTTCAGTTTGGCTGTACCGGAGAGTCTCGGTGGGAGCTGGCAGCCTGCTGTGCTGGGAACCTCTTAGTGCCTGTCAGGAACTCCGCTGTTTAAATATTTGTTTATTGTCGATAACTGGAGCCTCTTGTGTGCTGGTGACACCCACTCCCTTGGCAGGGCCCCCCCCGACGCTGCTCCCCTGGGGTGGGGAGGAAGGAGCTTCCAGCCTGGGGTGCAGTAAATGGCTCTGTGTGCGTCCTGGCGCCGTAACCCCGAGCATTCTGTGCCGGAGAGCCCACTGTGAGTGAGTGGCTGCTCTTTGGGGTGCGTCCCCGCCTCTCCTTGTGGGAGGTGGGCAGGGTTTCTGACCCCATCTCACCCCGCCCCCTGGTGGGAACTGAGCCAGCTTCTTTGCTGAATGGGGCCAGCAGAGGGGGGCTGCGGGGCATTCCCTGGACAGACCATGTGACATTCGCAGACCCCTCGGCCCGGCGTGAAAACTGACCGGCACCCTGTGCTCACAGAGCCGGAGGGGACCCGTCCACCACACACTCTCCATCAAACCACCTGCCTCCCGGTGCCACCCGCCTCTTCAGAGAACTCCACCCTCTCTAACCCCGAAACTGGTCCCTTAACTGGTCCCTCTGGGCGCTGCGGATTAATACCCGACCACGTTTCCGTCTTTCCTTTGGCCGCTAGAAAACGCACAGCCGCAGTCGTGGCTCAGCGCGCTCAGGGTGTAGATCCCGCTGGGAGAAGAGCAGAAAAACGTCAGTTACAGTTGCATTGCTCAGAGACGAGGAGATGGGTCTTGGGCCTGGCCTCCCAGTCTGTGCACAGAAACGTAAAAGCGGGACTTTGTAGCATAGAGTGTGTGTGCAGCGTGAGCGCTCTGTCGCGCCTTACATGCCTTTCTGAGGGCGGTGGCTCAGTTTCCTGGGAGCCACAGTTATTAGTTATTCTAAGAATCTCATAACACTTCTTCCTAGAAAAATACCCTCAGTCATACATACAAATGTGGCATTAGGTTCTAGAAATAAACTGTTTATAAATAAACTGGATTCTATGGCTGTAACTCCCGTTTTTGTGGCTGCATAGTGTCGGTTGTGTGACTGTGTTGTAATCTACTTACCAGCCTCCTGGAGTTGGGCATTGGGTGGCTTCTAGTGTTTCACTGTTTTAAACAATGCTAACCCTTTCTGCAGCAAAATCATTATGAGCATCTTGTTCTCGTCTGAATCTCTGCTGGTTGGATTGTGTGAGTCCCTGTAGCTGGAACACAGCAGAGCAATGTTTTAAGAAAGAGAAATAGAATTGCTCCCGCTGTGGCCTTGGGGTGCAGCCCAGGGGCTCCTGGCTCAGTCCCACCCAGGGCTCGGTGCCGACCGGT